TTTTCCTATAAATAAAGAAAAATAATAACTGATAGAATGTATATTATTAAGTAAAAACAAAAACCAATAAAAAGTTTTTGAATTAAATTATTTCGTCAATGATTTCCACATTTCTTTATTCATTATTAAACTACTTTTTTAATTTAAATATTATTCACCCGTTAATCGACTAATTTATCACATAATTATAATTACATGTCCTTCACAACCAATTAATAAAACATGGTGTAAAATGTGAGCAACTATTCATACAAAATTCTATCACATTTGCCTAACTATTCTAAAAAGAAGTTCTAACTAGTGTGTGTGGAAAATAATAATTTCTATTCAAAATATCACTTCACATCCAATACTAAATCTATAGAATATTCTGCAATCATTTCCCCTTTAATTCACTCATTATCTCTTGTAATAAAAGACAATCCAAACGCTAAGCTTCTGGAGCTTTCATTTTTTGTTCAATTGAGTAAAAGATAAGTCATTAAAAAATATGTTACCTTTTTATATGTGTATTCATTGATGCCATTCCTTTAATCGTTGAAATGTCTTATCTCTTACCCTCTAATCAAAGCTTTAAATAAATTGTTTATTTATATTTACGACTTTCCTCTCTATTAGAAGTACGACTTTTTCCCACTTTTGAATCGCTTTTGGCGCCACTTTTAGACCGACTTCTGGATCGTCGACGTCGTTGTCGATCGCGAGATCTACTCCGCGATCGCTCTTTTCTCTCTTCGGAAGCACTTCTGTTATCTCTAGAATTACGCATACCTTTTGAACTGGAAGTGCGGTCTTTGGACCGACTCCTCCGACTACTTCGCGAACTCCTACTCGTCGTCCTATCGTGAGATCGACTCCTCCTCTCTCTGGATCTGCGTCTGTGATCACGCGATGCTCTTCTATCCCTATCCCGACTCCTACTTCTACTCTTATTGCTATCTCTTCTCTTATTATCACCACTTCTATGTCTATCACTTCCAGATTCCGACGTTTTTCTCGATCGTTCACTACTTCTCCGCTCTTTAAAGTAAAATCAAAACAATCTTTAAATTCAAATTCAAACAAATGATGTGATTACCACTGCGTTCAGCGCTTTTCTCTTTGGATTTTTTACTGTCCCTTTCTTTGATGGAATCACTTCTCACACGACTATTGCTATCAACAGTTTTCGAACCGTTATTTTTCTGATCCGATTGGCTGTTGATGTGGTCATCGCTTTCGTCCGATTCGCTGCCATATCCCGAAAGACCAGTCAAACCGCCTAATCATAAAACTCATTAATTTCCAATAAATAGCCGTAAATGTGAACACACTTTCATTGAGTAAAACTCAAAATCAACAATATTTGCCATAAATTAGTTTTTGTAAAGTAAAACAAAATCAAATCAAAGCATAATCACAATTCAATTATAAGTAGACATAATTTATACGAATAGAGACATGCATTAGATTTAATTTTGTTGTTTATTAGTATTGAATTCAATTGTGAGCTCATAATGAGTGACCAATGGATTGATTACATACCAAGTGTTGAAGGATTCTTAAAACTTGTCGATTCGGTCGATTGTCTAACCGCTGGAACTTAATTGTTATCAAAAATATGTTTAATTTGCAAAATTTCGCATTTAATTCAGTTTTTGTTTTAAAAATTGTTTTAATACTTTCTGTTTCAAGAAATTCAGTAATAAATGAGTGAATTATAAAATCATTATTTATAAAATGCTTATATAAATAGCGTTTATAGGGATAAGGCTTACAATGAGGTGATTGGGAGACAATGGCATAACAAATACCTCTATTTAGCGCTTTATTGTAGACATCGTTAGCGATGGTCTCTATTTCACTGTTTGTCACCTCTAATAGGATTTGTGTTAAAATTTTACGCATTTTTAACATCTGTTTAAAAAATTCAATAAAAAACAATTAATCAAAACATTGACAAAACCATATGTTTAAAGCCATACCATGTCTTCGTCGTCGACGGGCTGCTCATCGGGCGAATGGCGTCCATCATTGGACTCATTGTCATCCTTATCGTCGTCATCGCTGTCATACTTGTTGGCCATCTTCTGTTCCCATTCAATCTCACGCCTCAACTCATCCTCTTTGTCACGAATAGCCCTAACCTTTTCCATGCGGTGGTGCTCTTCCTTCTCCCTCTCGCGCTGTCGGTTGCGCTCCTTTTCCATCTTCTCGAGTCCCTCCCGGAGCCAAATCGGAAGGTTCTTCTTCTTGGCCGCGTCCAGCGCTGACATTTGGCTTTCGCTCATTTGGTCCATCGCTTTGTGTGAGTCGTGTTGTGACACAACGTTTGGCGAATGCATCGGCGAATGAGGCGCCGGTCCTCTCCACTCGTACGACGGCTGATAGTTCATAGTCATCGGCGGTGGCATCGCATTCATTGGCGGCGGCGGTGGTGTTGGCAACAGTGGCTGCTGAGGAATGGGTGGCATCGGAGGCATCGGTGGCAGCGAGTGATGCGGCGATTGAAGTATAGTAATGGGCGGTCGACTCAGACTCCGATTCCAATTGTTAGCCTCAATGGGTGTCTGATAGACAGGTCGAGACATGTCGTCCGTCACCACCGTCTGTATGAGCGGCCGATGCATGGGTTGAGCTAATGATGACGTGAATTGTGGCGGCAATGCCTGCATCGATGGCATCGACGGCATGTGTTGGGGCGGCAGTGGGTGTAGTGGTGGGGGAATCGGTGGCATCGGAGGCATCGGTCGCGAAGTCATGTTCAGTGGTGTGGGCTGTGGTGGCAGTGGGTGTGAGTGGTGTGAGGGATGTATTGGATGTGAGGGGTGTGTCGGGTGTTGTCCAGTGTTGTGGTGCTGTGGCGGTGGAGGCGGCGGTTGTGTCTGCATTTGGATCCACTGTTTGGCGAGTTGTGCCCAATCGACCGACTCGTGCGGTAATGAGAGACAATAGTCGGACTGTTGTGCCGACCACTGCCTCTGCTCTCGAGTCCACGTCTGGGACTCTTCGTGACCGCCATTTGATGACCACATGTCTTATGTCTTGCGGTTGTGTTTCAG